ATATTGGTACAATGATTCATATCGGTGGGGATAATATAGAAGTTCTCAAATTCATTGCATGATGATAATACATTGATACATTCTAATAATGCTTTCATTTTTGTTTGACATGAGGTAAATAAACTGATCTATAGAAATCGTCCCGACATCGATATATTGTTTTCTAATGTGTGAAAGTGATCGGTAACCCAAAAGAAAATGGTATTCATGCTCTATATCTCTCGATTTACATAATTTACACAGTCTGTTTTTTCGCTCGATACCGTTCATCCCACCAATTTCTAATTTTAGTGGGAGTATACCGCAACGAAAGTTTGCCAAAATACTCATGAATTTATTTATTTGTATTGAATTGATGTACTCTTCAGATTCAAATTATACTTAAACAATTTGTATCTATGTAGTTTAGATGTACAATTTATTGAATTAAACCACTCTGATATGAATACATCTTTCATTCTTTGTTTGAATTCCTGGAGAAATAAGTTTATGTTTTGCACCCCTTGATTTACCCATACATACATAAATCCATTAGAGCATATAATGTTTCTTACCTTGGTAACCCAGTTTACTTTTCCGTTAGTATCATAAAGAAGTGACATTCTGTAACATTTTTTGGCATATCTATGGTCAGGCATCCTGTTTATTTTAAGCCTGTATTTAATGACTCTTACTAAAGTGTTAACAAATAGAGGGAAGCGGCCACATTCAACAAGGACAGCATAATTTGGTGTCTAAACTGCCAGTTGTAAATATCTCTTACAAGCTGTGAACTGAATTCTTTCTAGTTCATCGTATTGCTTATATCCCCAAATTTCACATCCGTATGTTAGGATTGGTAATATTTTTGTATCAAAAATATGGAAGAAAATCTTGCTATTTATAGTTCAGTTCATATTCAATGTCTGTAGAACACTATTTAAAGCTTCCTGGGCTCTTCTACTAATAGCATATTTCCATGATAACTGAGGAGTGAAAAATACACCGAGGTATTTATAATTATTCACAACTTTTAACTCGACTCTTTCAAAGTTCCATTTCTCATTTGTACCTAACACACCTCCCTTTCTGAATACCATTATATTTGATTTTGCCATATTAACTTTCAATCCAAATTCGATCAAAAATGAAGAAAGAATGTTTTAACGTGTTTGGAGGGTCCTTACCAACATTAGAAAACAGCACAATGTCGTCAGCAAAAAGTAAATATATATGTACAAGATCAGGCATAAGTTGTAACCCATAGCAGTCTGAACATTCAATACCAGTTGCTAATTCGTTTATGTATATTGAAAATATCAAAGGACTCATAATGCATCCCTGTTTTAAACCCACATGACATTTGAAGAATTCTGAATACGTGTTGTTATTTCTTACACAAGCAGAGACATCATTTTACAGATTATGTATTATTTGAAATAACTTGCCTTTTATTCCGATGCGATTGAATAATTTCCACAGTTTTGGTCTCCTTACCGTATCAAAAGCCTTCTTAAAGTCTATGGACGCTGCATATAAGTTCCCTCTTTTCTTCGTTATTTGTTTCTCTATCAATGCACTCAAAATAAATATGTTGTCAATAGTAGAATACTCACGTCTAAATCCACCTTGTGATTCAACAATTTTATCAAATATCTCTGTCCACATTCTTAGTCGGTTACATATGATTGAAGTAAATATATTACTAAATATGCTTAAAAGTGATATCCCTCGATAGTTGTTTGGATCATTTGACGGTCCACTCTTATGTAATGGAATAATAACAGACTTCGACCATTCATATGGTATGCATCCCGTGTCAAAGATCTCGTTGAATAACTTACGGAGAGTTGGGGTTAAGACACAAAAACAATGAAAACATTAAAAGTATTGTTGTCAATGATAATGAATATAAGCCAATGATACTGAACTATTTCTTGATGGAACTGAGGAGAGTTTATATCTTGCTATTGACACAATTAATGCAATTTATAAAATGTCAGGTTTGAAATATTAAAGATATATTTATCATGGAGCAAATTCTGAAACCTTTTTGGAGATTGAAAACCCTTTCTGACATGATGTGCTGAAAGCATGGACACTATTTCACAAACAACATTATGCTGACCCAAATAACATTAATTAAATTTTATCCCAACCACTATGGTTCAATCACAACATTACAAATATTTGGGATATATGTGATGAAAATGGATTACTATGAATAGAATCTTTAAAAGAAAGTTATGATATCAAAGGTACCTTTTAGATTTTAGGTATTTACTGAACATATTACCTGAATCATGGAAACATACTTTAAAGCACTGTCACTGTATCCCAGTCAGGAATTTGAATATCAACGAATGCTAGATAAATTTAGTGAAAGCATCAAAAGGCTGCAGGATTGTTTATGATAATCTTATTTTCAATGATAAATACCCAAACATTTGAAATAAATGGCAGTTTTTATTACTTTGATTGGAAAGTGAGTGAGTGAGTGAGTGAGTTATTATTTAAAGTCACATCGGCAATATTTCAGCCATATCGTGACGAGAACATATGTGACATTGAAATGGAATAGATGTATATTATAAACATCTGTCGACGAAGGACAGTAAAACAACTAGAATAGCACAATTACAACTGAAACTATTGATTGGAAAGATATATTTACAGTATATAGAAAGGGATTACAAGAGTACAGACTTTCAATATAGATTTCTTCAAGGTATTAATTATACAAAAACGGAATTGGTCAAAATGAAAAAAGTTGATAACAGTTTGTGTTGTTTTTGCAATAATTTAAATGAGAGTGTGTGTCATGTATACTGAGTATGTCAGGAAACACAAACCTTTTGGATACACCTACAAACAACTTTTGTTCTCAACCATTGATATTGTCAAAAAACATGATTTGGTTCGGTACTCCATATGAAAATAGAATGCTAAATCACATCATCATTGCTGCGAAGAGAAATATTCACATCTGCAGTATTAAAAATATGCTTCCAAATCTAACTTTATATATAAAAACTCTTAAAGAAATTTTATTTATAGAAAATCATATATCAACAATAAATAATAAAATAAATAATTTCAATCTCAAATGGAGCCTTCTCTCCCCAGCACTAGATGACTCTTAACTGTAACGATTTGTACCTGGCATTATCTATACATGATTTTTGCATGTTTATGAATATACTAATATATTGGTATCCTATATGTACATCATGTAGCTATATTACTTTAAGCCGTATGTATCACGGCTCTGTATATCTGTTATATCTGTGATATTGTAATCATGGGATCATGGGAACCAATAAAAAAAGAGAGAAAAAAAGAACAACAAATAGCAACGGTGCTGAAGTCAATAAACAGGAGGACATTGCTCTGTGACCAAAACTAGGAAATAGATGTCCAGCAGATATTCCACTCACAGGGAAGGAATTTAACATACAAGAAAGTACATTTTTTATGAATAACATAAATGTCACCAAATATACACCTGGACAAAAGTTACGCGCCAACCCTTATTTTACAAGCTGAGAGAATGAAAGACCGAAGTATGAAAACAATTGGGCCTCTTCAACTAAATTAATGTTTGGAACCTGTAGATAAGATAAATGTGTGCACAGAGAAAAGCAAGCCCGAAAGAGATATTTGAACAAATGCATGTTTCTCACTCTTTCCAAACAGCTTGTAAGTTTGATTCTAGGGACCATAATACTTTACACAGTCATGAGTGTCTCCTTTCTCAAAACAGGAAAACATTCCTGTGACCATTTAAATAAAAAAAACCAGTATTTTGTGTAACCACCATGAACACGAACGACAGCTTCAACTCGTTTCCTCATTCATAGGACCAGACGTCGTAGCTGCTGTTGCGGTAGTTGCTGCAATTCCTGCTGAAGAGCTGCTTCAAGATCTTTACGATTCTGCATCGGTGGTTGTCCTTTGCGGATATTCCGACCCATAAAGTCCCACGCATGTTCCATAGGGGTTAAGATCGGGGCTACGAGCAGGCCAGGGGATCGTTGTGATGACATTCTACTGCAGCAGCACGTGAACGATGAGGTAGAGCATTATCCATCCATAAACATGGGACGAGAAGCTAAAGGGTGGTTATCACACTCTGTTCCAAGATGTCCCTTCGGTACTTTTCTCCATTCAAGTTGCCTTGTACAGTGATGAAGTCTTATTTGCAGTCATGCGAAAGGCACCCCCATACCATCACAGACGCTCCGCCATACGGAACTGTTTCCTGGATGTTCCTTGCAGTATATGCCGTATTTGGGGTCCTCCAGAATCTGGTCCTGCCACCCGTACCATGCAACAGAAAACGACTTTCATCAGACCAATGAATCCGTCTCCACGTTGCCACATTGTGTCGATATCCAAGTCTGCACCATTCCAATCAGACTCTTTGATGACCAATGGTTAGCAAGGGACGTCTTACAGTTCTTCATGCCCGATAACAAGCAGATTTCAGATGGTTTCTCACTGTTCTCGTGCAGAGTCTTCTGCTCGGGAGCCTGTCATGGCGCAGACGTGTCCTTGATGCAAAGTCTCAGCAGGGCATTATCCTCCCGTGCGGAGGTTACTTTTGGTTGCGTGACCTTGTTCTGCCCTTGACAGTCTGGGTTTATTGATGTTTTCGTTGCAACCTGCTTATTATTGTATGGTTTAACAAAGGTTTACCAATAGCCTTACATGATAAATCAGCATTCACCATGCCAAACATACGCCATCTTTCTGCTTAAGTCTACGACGAGGCATAATCGTACTAAAAGCTTTATAACGCGTAATGTTTCACTCTAGGATAGTCTCAAAGTTATGATCAAGAAACTTACATTTTTCAGATTAGACCCCTGTCTTATTGCACGTGCACGTGCAAACACGTTAAAATTGTGCATGTCACGGTGCCCTAAGAGTCCCATGAACATGATTTATGTCATGTTATGAGTTTTCCCACTTATAAATAGTTTTATCAAGTGGTGCATAACTTTTCGTCCAGGTGTATACATAGACATGTATCTAAGATCTACAAGACACTGATGAAATGAAAGTCTCTCTCAGAGTTGTGGCTTTGTTGTTTTTATCGACGTAAAATTCTTTAAGAGATGACTTGGATGGACCCCAGGAGCTGTCAGGTTTCAAGGACTTCTGGAATCTCTGGAACATGGTGCAAGAGCATTCGTTTTAACATCTATAGTAGATGAAGCTTACAAAAAAGGGCTGGATATGTTATCATATGTATCCTAACAAACTGAGTCACGTAATCAGAAACTACCCAACATCATGGGTTAAGAGTCATGGCTGAAGGTGCAGACAGTTATTTACTAGGCATTGCATGTGTATATATCGTCCTAGATCTCCAGCTCTGTCATTTTAACAAACTACATGCAAATCTAAATCAAACTTATTTGTAGATGATGGGATTAATTTCAACATTCTATTAGTCATTCCTCTTTATGTTGAGAGGTATTCCAACCATTGCTGTCTACATATCTTAACATTCATACGACCCTTTTAAGAAGTTCAATGCCTCAAGTATAGCTTTCAAAACCGTTTTATGGAGGACACGTAGAGGGCGTTTCCATCAGTTATACCACTAGGGTGTGTTATGTCCATTGTTCCGGCAGGTTGATTTTCTGCGTATCAACCTTCTGTCTGCACGTGTGCAGAGGTTGATATGTGGATAACGACCTGGTCGGTGCAGGAAACGCACAAGCAACAAGCAATGTACGAGTCCATGCGGCGCCCTCGTGGTATAAGTAGGTTAGCACCCCCCCTCTGCGGGTGATATGGATTCAACGCTCTCGCCTGACGGCTCGAGCGTTTAAATCCATATCACCCTTGAGGAGGGTGCTAACGTATACATACAAAATGATGTCCGATGCAATTCCTTATTTCAACTTGCACCATATTGTCCCATGTTTACTTTATCAGCGTTCGCTCGTCATGCTGGAGACATGGTTAGATTCCCCACATGGGTACAATGCCTGAAGCCCATTTCTGGTGTCCCCCGCTGTTATATCACTTTTTTCTATGCGCCCGACAGACATGGATGTCGTGTCCCATATGGTGTATTTCTACGCTGTAAATGTGCTTTAAACATATCAGTTTGGGTTTCATTTATAGATGGTGCTGTATGACGGCCATTTTAATATGAGATATTGATCGTTGCAGTATATTTTACAATGGTTAGTCTCTCTTTACCCGTCAGATTAGTTTACATTCATCCCTACCTGCAGCAGACTCCCTTCCTCCTTGTAGATGGCCTTGAACATCATCACTACCAATGGAATTCTCGGGACGCTTGCCGCACACCAACCGATGGTGGCAGCGTAGTCGGGGTAGACGTATTTCCCGTATGTCGGTGACTGGTACTGAGCCAGGGTGAAAATAAATGTCACCTGGAACAACAAATAGCACATCAACATTAAAGCATCGATGTGATGGAAATGACTGTTGTTTCTAACTCGCAATCGGGACAAAACGTAGCCCATCGTATGACGACGGAAAGCCCATTGTGGGTATGTAAATGTAGAAGGCATACTTGCATCACTTTCCAGAACTGGGGTCTCCTTCATTCCCACGCAATAGTTATTTTCAACAAGACTGCAACTGTAATTTCACTCATTAAAGTCTACTAGCACAGTGATCAATCATGGACACGGAGGTTACTGCCCACTCCTGGGATGCACTTCCAGTTCACATTGGGATTAAAAGGATGTTCTATATACGAGGCCTTACTTAGTAAACATGCTGGTGAGATTCCAGGTTAGGACTGTTGACCAGCGATCTACGTGTTACAAGGGCACAGTAACAACAATGTGTGTAAATGTCTACGGTTTGGATCCTACCAGGAGCATTGCCGGTGTGATGTAACACCAGGTTATCTTGAAGAACAACGGAGCAGGTCTTCCAAGCATCAGTTCAATGTCTGCACTCAGACGATCAACACCTGGAATAAAGATAAACGCATAGAAACAAAAGGTTAAATTGTAAAAGGTGTTTGCATAAAAAATTAACATTTGCACACATACTGAGGTTGACTGATAACTTTCATTAATTCACATAACTTTGTCAGGGTTGGTCACTTTAAAATGCTCCATCATCACTGCCATCACCTTGCCAGGCCGAACCGCCACATCATTTTCTCAGGTTCCACCCTTGACATGAATTTGTCAGATTTCATCCCCCGCAACTCGTTCTGTTCTATGATTACTCTGTCATTCTGGGTTTTTTTGTTACTGTTAATCTCTGAATATATACCTCTTTACAGTATAACCCGTCCCACCAAGTTGTTTTTCACGTCAAAAGTAAATGAATCAGCATTTGACCCAAATTGTTGCCTTTAATGTATAATGCTGGTTAAATCCATTCGTCAGCTAGTTTGCGTGAGTGAGTTTTATATTCACATCGGCAACATTTCAGCCATATTGTGACTTTAAAAGGTATATATTAACAATAAACACAATTAAATTATAACCACCTGTCGACAAAGGACAGTAAAACAACTAGATTATCACAGGAATAAATCTAAGACTAGTAATTATATTTAAAACATTTTAACTATACAAGACGATACAATATAAACACAGGTTATGGATTGCCAACGACTGAAGATGGATCACCATACTAGGGACCATGGGGACTTACAGTATATTTGCTACCTGCATGGGCCCTAGTTGGATTTACATCATCTCTTCAGCTGTCAGCAATTACGATACATCTAGCCGTACCTTAAAGTTACACATATACTACGATTAAAAATTTACCTTGAATGTTTTTGGACTTACGTACCCTCTCAGGAGGACAATAATGGTACAGTACTTTAACCCCCCTCGAGGATACAGCCACGAACAACCTTAGTTACTAATTCAAACTTCCAATCATAAAATATTTATCTATTTACAAATCATAATTAATATGAATTAATATGTAATAATTAAATGAAAACTGATACTATTAAAAATATCCTTCATAGTTCGTGATTTAAATAGATATCCCTTGTGATGGAATATTCAACAGTCAAGAAAGACATGTTTGATCATCTGGTTTGATAAAAACCTTGACGACTGCGTGTTTGTTTGAATGTGAATACTCATGGTGTTTCATTCCAGCATCCGTCAAATGACAAGAATGAGTCGTGTGTTGTTACGAAGCATCATTAATGTACAGTAAGGTCGTCAAGTGTCAGTCCGAACAATAACATCACGTAGCGTGCTGTTACAAATGGCTTCGTTTCTTATGATCCTTGAAAGGCCTTTGTCTATTTCATTTACAGCTGATTTCCACCATGGTAATGAATTCAGATCTTGCGGCAAACACCGGCTAGATGCCATACACTACAGTGGTCAAGTGTCGGCAATAACTCACAGATCACATACCTTGCTGTATTTCTTATGATTATTAAAAGGGATTTTGTTTATTTACAACCCGTTTCCACCAAACACGAGCTAATGGTTCCATATTTTGTGACATACATCGACTAGATAGCAATCTTTCCTGCGATTGTTATCATTTGTCTCAATAATAATCAACATGACAGTTTAAAGGTCACATGCAACGTAAAACACAACTTTGCAGATTCTGACACATTTCAGTATGGACGTACCGAAACAAATCACCAAAAATGCAACTTCAAGTTATAAAGTTGAAAAATAACGCAATGAAAAAAAACGCGCGAAATCGGAGTTCAAACGATTCACTAATTTTCCAAAAAAAATTTCTGGGGAAAACGGGTTTCAACAGCTGGGCTGCGCTCATAGCATGTGCGCAGTGAAATAGGTTCGCGCAACTTGGAAACGGGCTGTCTGGTGAATATTCGGTGAAGGCTTTGGTGTGAGCTATTTTCATAATGTTTTGTTGATATCTCACAGGCGCGAGATTTTTTAAATGTTATGACAGTAAATAAACTGTTTATATAATTTCTTTTGTCTATTTCACCACACGTTCTTCTCACCGAGTCACTTTCTCACTTCGATACTTAAAAGCAATGTCATTATTTAGCGTTGACGGAATTTCTAACTGTGATATAGATATGTCGTTGTCACAGACAAAACTCAATGTCTTGTTTTATTGACACCTGTGTGTCTGCCTGCCCACTAATAACAATATTCAATACACAACTGCGATCACTGACCACATGCAATTTGATCTTAACACCAATCAGGCTATACACCATTAACAAAACGCGTTGATTTATGGCCCGAGTTCGGTCTCGGTCACATTATGTAATTACACAGACAGGCAGGTGTGATACTTGAACACATGACATGTTATGATGTCTGTTGATTGCAAAATGTTATACACAAAAAATGAGCATGTATTTACAAAACCCAACATCTCTATATATACACAAACAATGAGCTGTGGGGGCGGCATCTGCAAATGAACCAGCCGTTACACTTGAGTGCACACCCACCCGCTCTGACTGGGCTCGGTATCCCGGCTGCTTCGTTTCGAGGGAGGTAAACCGAAGTACAAAATATTGCACTTTTGATTTGCGATTATACGCTTATAATTTTGTTTATTTGTTTTTTTCATAATCAACAATGCATATTATATGTCATGAAGAAGTGATAATTGTGTTTTAATTATGTTTGATTTTTTGGCTGCATGTGACCTTTAAACATCAACATGATAGTTTCAAAATTATTTCAGTTACTTACCATATATCCAGCCGAGAATGATGCACTCCAGAAACCCATCGACGATTAGGAATATGACGACGAAGTACCAGTCAATCAGCTGTAAAATATATATTCCACCCTGAAAAGACAAAAAACACAATTACATTCTATGACAGTTGAAACCACATTGTGCTCTAGCTACATGGCGGTCGGTAAGTAATTGAGTGTGGAGTGAGTGAGTTAATACTTAACGTCACATCGGGAATATCTCAGCCGAATATCTGTGACGAATCTAGTGTGGACCACACAATCCAGTGATCGATATTGTGAGCAACGATCCACGTCGTCGATATGCAAAGACACTCTTTCAAGTAGGTTACAGAGAAGCACCATCCGAAACCACTTGGTCGCCTCTTACCACCTGCATTTGTTGCTGGCAATATATTCTAACCGGGAATACCAACGCGCCTGGTCCCTTCAACAAACAAATGTAACTATATATGATGTAACATCATTATTCAGACTGAATGTGCTCTACTACAAACCTCAGTGGTGAACAGTAGCCCCGGCAGAAAGGACAGAACACAGTATCCAAGGGTAACGACGACTCGCCATTTCAGCAGCCAGGGGAACTCATCCAAAATGGCCGATATCACGGTTTCCACCATAGAGAACTAGCAAACCGATGAAATATGCGTTAAAAATATTGGATTCACAAAGTTTTAAGCAGTTTACTCTTACTAACTTGGTTAAGTGAAAATGCACTGTATAGGTAATAATATAATGTACTTTTACACATTATGATACATTACTCGAGCGGATTTTCTATACATTATAATCAGTTGTGAGTGAGTGAGTGATTTAAGATTTTAAGTCAGCCATGTCGTGACTAAACACAAGTTGTAATTTCATAATAAACGCAGGTAAATTATAAAACTCTGTCAACGAAGGACTGTAAAATAACCAGTTTATCTCAGATTTTAATTTATAACTAGTACTGAACTATAAAACATTTTAACTATACAGTCAAGCACCGTTGTATCGAAATTCATGGGCCCAAGAAAAAATATCGAGTTATCCGAACTTCGAGACATCCGACCAGGCATATCACTATGAAAGAAACAAAACGCTTCTCAGTATGTTTTGATTCGAAACTATAATCCGTTATCAGTAGTGTTTAGTCGTAACAGTGACTACTTCCGAATTAAATCCTTCTTAATTAATCATCATTAAATAACAAACAAGTGACACCTTCAACTCAATTAGCCCTGATTAGTTTACACTACCGCATCCCTTTGATTCATGCCGCACCGTGTGTAAACGTGTGGAATCATCCTTAGTTCAGAGGGATACTTGCCCATGAAAGGAAGGTGACTATCGAGTTTCTCTGCAAATATCGACTTTAAAGGGTAATTTTGCTTGTTGTGACCATGAAATTCTATCGAGATATCCGAAATATCGAGACATCCGTATCCAGTTAAAAGAGCTTGAATATTGATAAATTATGAAGGATTTTGTCGGGACCGAGATGTTATATCGAGACAACCGAGTTATCGAGTTATCAGAGTTCGACACAACGGTGCTCGACTGTATATGACAATGCAATATAAAAACAGGCTATAGATTGCCAACGGCTGAAGGTAGGTGACAATACTAGGGACCATGGGGACTTACTAATCAGTTGTGAGAGTGTCATCAGTAATTGTCACCTTTAGCTGCGATTCAGGATCAGTTACGAAAGTTAACATGGTCTGAAATTTCTGCCCCTCACGAAGATATATTGCAGATGGGCTAGAAAGATGTTAGAAATTCTCAGATTCTTTCTTGTTTGTTAGTTAAACGGTTAAATCTATGTTAGTTAAACGGTTCAATATAAGTGACAATTCAGTCAAAGAAGCATTGCATTCCCACTAAATGTATATTGAGGCCGTGTTCGTATGTTTTTTTTCAATCCGTCATGATTTACTAAATATTGCCGCTGCTGAACAGACCTTTCCGGTTCCACATCCAGTAAAGGGCGGTTACACCATCAGGTAACCCATCTCTACTCTCATCACGTGGACCGTTTATGTCCTTGTTCGAATACATGACAGCTATTTAATATAAATGCATATATTAATCACTTCTGTAGGCATATTAACCCCTTTAAAACAATATAAACTGAAGTAGTACCTGTGCAGAAAACTAAATGGTTAACTCACCAAAGTGTCAAGCCCCAACAAAATCAGCATAAAGAAGAAAATGAAACTCCAGAGTTGTGGAAGCGGAAGTTGAGCCAATGCTTCTGGGTAGATCACAAATCCAAGTCCTGGCCCTTTAACAGATATAAAACAAAGTACATGTAGTCGAGATTAAGAACTGGGTTGGTTTTTTTTATGTGTAACGTCATATGGCAAAATTGTATAGTATAGCACGTCTTATCTGTTGACCTAAAGTGTCACCTAAGCCAGGCCAAGATGCAGAAAGCTGGGTTCAAATCTTAGACTGGTATCGATGTATTAGCAGCCATGATGTGTGTCTTTCACAAAGTTTGTAAACTGATTTGCTGCATGTTGTGCTTTTAAATCCTCAATCAAACAGATTGCCCGAGAGAGTATTTGAAAAGTGGGCATTAAAACAAACCCGCTTTACTCAGGATATATAGTGATAACTTTCATCACCTAATACAGGTCTACTAATAACAGGCAGCAGAGAGCAGCCGAAGTAAAGAATATGCACATAATTCAAATGCAAACAACCACAAAACATTTGGGCATGAAGTGTGCGTGATAAGGATTATTGTAATGATTAAAACACGACACGATTTCAGTGGAGACCGCAACAAAGCACTGGGTGCTCAATCGGGTTCTTAATCTTAACTTCTTTGTTTGGTTCCACTGAACATGTTGAGTGTTTTAGGTGTGGTTTACAGTTTTGGGGGATTGTGACTTGTTCGTATTTAATGCGTCTGTTTCTATCTAAAGTGTGTGCACGTTCATCGGTTCGGCTGCTCTCGGTGAGTTGTCTTTCATAGGCCTCTTACTTTGATAGGCCTCTTATAATACATTTCTAGCTCGTAATTTCCTTGTGAACTAATACAACGCTTACCCGAGGAGACGACATCCCCGATGGGGATGTTAGCCTCCTGCGCCATGAAGCCCAGGATGGAGAAAACAACCAGGCCTGCAAACATGCTTGTTCCCTCACTCACAAACGTACAGATGACGGCATTCCTTCACAAGAACAAAATGTACTCGAAATTATAAGAAATAAATAAAATATAATTCTGGGTCAAATGATATATTGTAGTATTGTTACATGTGAAAAAACGTTTCTGAGAAATAATAGATCTAAGGGTGTCATCATAATGTTTAACGCGTTGACAAATGTGACACATCGTTACATACAGACAAAAAGTTCAAACCGCACTAACAAGCATCAGTTCTACAGACCAATCCTCCAACATGAAAATGACAAACATGAAGCACTTGGTCATTCAATATCTGGTGTACCCTCCTCGCGCGTAGCAAGACACAGGTGCACCAGTTCTCGTGCTCCTCATCAAGTTCATAAAGAAAGTTTGCGGAATTGCATTCACTTCCTCAACTAGAGCTCTGTGGAATCTTGGGAGATTTTTGATGGGTGACCTGTGTACACACATCGACCGAGTTCATCCCAGGTGTGCTCATCTGGGTTGAGGTCTGGCGAGCAAGGTGGCCACTCCATCCGCTCTACACCCTGATGGCCTAAGGAATTCTCTGACAAATCCTGCCGTTGTGAGGCCTAGCGTTGTCGTCTTGCAGTAAAGAGGTACGACCATACAACCCATGCAAAGCTTGCAGGAACGGTACTGCAATAGGAGCCAGAATCTTGTCCCGATAACGCTTTCAGGTAAGATTACCGTCGACCACGTGCAGTTGAGTACGTCCAGAAGCAGTTATCCCTGCCCAAACCCCACCCCTACCAAATCGGTTATGCTAGGCCACAGTTGCAACTGTGATTCGCTCTCCATTGGGACGATCAATCTTCATGCCGACAATCATATAAGGACAAATTGAATCTGCTTTCATCTGTGAAGAGTACACGAGACCATTTCTCGCAATTTAGGATTTGAAACATGCAGGATAGTTTGCATAGAAAAAAGGGCAGGGCTTGGCATGACCAGCCTATTGATATAAACTGGACCATTCTTACACCCGTCTAAGTGAAGTAAGGGTAGAAGTGGTGCATTGGGCAAAGGGACGCTGTTCTTGGAACCAGTGCCCTCAACCACCAGAATCCGGTCCTCCACCGACACAAGGGCGCAACCCGCCGCAGGTTGACCAATTCGATCGCCAGCAGTGTGGTGCTGAGGCTATAAGCATTGCCCAGCACTCACCACAAGGAGGTGTCTCTTCACGAGTGCCTTCACAAAGTAATCTGTGTATCGGATATCGTTCACGTAGAACTAATGTGTCGGACGTAAGACGTTTCACGCAATAATCTGGCGTTCAGGTATTGGTCATGTAGAAACAATGTGTCAGAAGTAAGGCCTTTCGTAGGGTTTGATGTTTAGTACTCTACGAGTTCAATGATTACCTGAGACAGTTGGTGTTGAACCCGTTGTAGCTTGCCATGGTGATGAGACCTCCCCATGCTGGGCTGAGCGAGTAAAACACCTGGAGACAGGCCTCCAGCCACACCTGCAGCAGAGCAGGGACTCAATTTCACCACACAAGAGGATAGTATTTCCCTCGTAATTATGCAAAGTTACCTTTAAAGAGGAAGTCCCTTCGGCGAAGATCATGAAAAGATAGTTGTATTTACTTGACAGTAATATTTGGGTATACAAATACATGTCTTTTACCCAAAACAACAGATGAGAATCATTTTAAAAGACCACGAGTACTGAAAGTGGGAGTAAAAATGAAAAATCCGCTACTAGTAATAGGTAACAGGTGAGTTCAGTGATGCAGCAATCTGTGTTGTTCTGATACAAATCTAAACCATATATTGTTAACGAAAATATTAATATTAGAAACTAAATTTAAACAGTAAACTGGAGTGCAATATAATCATGTTTGTTGAACAAATTTCAGGTTTTTCTGAGTGTTTCCAATAAATCATAGGCACTTGATGCTGCTTAGTCTGTTACATCAATAGAAGATAATTTCATACAAATATTTTTTATATACGTGAACTGAATTATATATCAAATATGCAAGTAACTTATTTATTGTCTGTAATGTTGTACTATGTTTAATATATGTATAATCGTACCATCGTACTACCATTCCCTCTACTACTTGGGAGAGTCATATAAGTAAGGTAAGTGAGTGAGTGAGTGAGTGAGTGAGTTGAGGGTGAGCTATATCAGTAGGGTAGTGGCTGAACGGGTATACGTTTTTGCAGCAAACAACAGAGTAGCAGCACGCAAGCTCCTAATCAGATGGGACTCGATTAGTATTGTACAGAAAAGATCATGTCATACATGCCTTACTTATAATGACCAGAGGACCTTCTATGAGAACAGTGATCTTTATTATGTGTGCATCACCCACCTGTATTCCCAGCAGTTTGCTGAAGTCCGGAGTAAGGTAGAACATGGCGCCTGAAGGTCCTCCAGGTAACGTCAAGCCTTTGACAAGCAGGATGGTGAGGATGATGTAGGGAAGTGTGGCAGTCATGTAGACAGCCTGCGATAGATGGAACAATATATTTACACTATACTACACAGAACATATGGCTAGGCTTATACTCTAAATATCCACCATTGTATATGCAAGAATCACCACTACACTCACTGTACTAACTTTACACATCACAACCATTCTAAACTGTAGATTAATCTCTGGTGCCCACCGTATGCTATACAGTTAGCCCTTAGAACTAGGATAGAAACTACGATTATTGTATTTATATATTTATAGCTCAGCCCACAGACTAGGTAAGGAATCACCTCACCCAATAAAAGTACCGAGCAAAATTGAAGAAGGTGACACGTTGGTAAAATCACTATGACATAATGTTTGTTCACGCGGCAACAGAACTACCACGGCTGATACTCCTCGCTTCACTAAACACCTATTCTCACGAAACAATGCGAGATGGATACTGTTGGAAAATAAAAGTGTTCATATCTTGATGAAAATTTGTGTTTTGCAAACACAACCTTTATTCCTCAAAGAACAAGAAATATCAAAAGTCAGGGTGCGGTGTTATGTCTCTATAATTCTTAGTGTTATGAGAGTGTGTTTTTCGTAATTTGTATTATCATTGATTAGGTGATAGTCATTATGGGTCGCAATGTTTAAAGTTTTGAGTGTGGGTTTTTGCTTGCATCTCGCATCATATATGTTCAATGGCAAAAGTATTTTTAGCTGTATTTTTAGATAGCGCTTCAGAGCTGCCTTCCTTGGCTGGCTAAATGTTGTTTTGACTTCCGGGTCTTGTCACGTCTTGTGTTTTCGATGACTTTCGTGAACGTTCTGAGAGAATAATGATGGAGCCTAGTTTTGCTAGAACGCTCGAGATCTGTGAAAGAACTATACTGAGTCAAAAAAGAAACTTCACAAAATGTAATTTGAAAAATAATGATTTCATAGGACATTTATCCTACCTATTAATAAAGTCGTTAACAGTCTGTGACTTGCCTTTTAACTTAAAACATGGTTTACATTTGACCTGTAGAATATACCTGAACCTCAGGATTAATAAGCAAAATAGGTTATTGATACGCGTACAGTGTTTACTATATATCTATACTGAGTCAAAAAAGAAACTTCACAAAATGTATTTTGAAAAATAATGAATAATTTTTCTCTGATGATACATCTATGTATCCGAAATGGGATCCCTATCTTTCGACTCTAGAAAAACGTCAGCAAAACCCACTCAAGCTCAGCTCACCTTCCCGACTGACCTGACGCCCTTTACAATGCATCCGAAGATGAGTATCCAGGATGCCAAGAGACACAGCGCCAGCTCCCACTTGATGCTGCCCAGCTGCTCCAGACCTCCACTGATACCGAGGACTTTATACCTGGAAACACATCAGGTGAGTTGGGTTAACATGGCCACACCCACTGATACCGTGGGCTTCATACCTGGAATCACATCAGGTGAGTTGGGTTAACATGGACACCCCACTGATACCGAGGGGTGATTCTTCCAAATTCCAACTGCAAGAAGTACCGGAGATCGCGGAAGGCAGAGAAATATTCTGCAAACGTCTGCAAGATATCCAGGAAAACGATTGCAAGAATTACAAGAGGCAGCACATGTGGAAGAATGGAGAAGAGAAGCATTGGTTATCCTAGAAGGCAGGAGGAGAGCACGGCAGATAGAACAAGAGTGAGTTAGTGAGTGAGTTAAGATTTTAAGTCACTTTGGCAATATTTCAGCCATATCGTGACTAAATCAAGTTATAAATATACTGAACATCATTGAAAACGCACCACTTATAAAAGTTCAGATCATTAAAAGCACGTGTAAGGAACTGATATTTTTTGAGTGGATAATAACAGATGGACGACTGACAAAAACAACAACACAAAAAAGGCGATCATCTGGATGTGTTGCTGGGCCAGATACTGCATGGTAAGTCTTGTTGTGTGTGCCTGTGCGTTGTCCTGTTGAAAAGTATGGACATCTTGGTGGTGATTGAAGACACATACGATGTGATTCTGAAGAATCTGCTCACTGTAATAAAGGGCATCAACTCTCCCTTGACAGACATGAAGGCAGTCCTCTGATTGTAATTTATTCCATCCCAGATCATGACACTCCCACCACCCAAAGGTCTGTCTGAACCAAACACTCATCAGCATAACGTTCACCACGTCTACGCCAAACACGTAATCGGCCGTCAGCATTACTTTGATGAAGACGTGACTCGTAAGTGACTACCACACCATGCCATTGTTGTAACCTTTACTGAAAATGCCTGCTAGCCCATTGCATACGTTCATTACAGTGTCTGTCAGTCAGAATTGGTCCAACGTAAGGACGTCGAGCATAGAGCCCTGCAGCGTGTAGACAGAGTCGCATGGAGTGAGCGCTGATGACCCCCCACGTCAACCTTGAACTAGTGCAGCAGTCCTGGCAGTCGGCAGTGTTCAATCACTGATATGGACAAGGAAAAGTTGGCGATCCTGATGGAGCGTCGTAACACGTCGTTGCCAAGGTCATTGAAGGTCCCGGGTGCTGCCTGACTACTGATGTCGTCTATGAAGCCTAACGATGGTGGAGTGGCCAAGTCCAAGTTGCCTAGCAATATCCCTGCTCTTGGTACCTACCTGAATCATGCCTATGTGCACGTTCTCTTTCGTGAGGTGTTAACCTCGGCATCTCTGTCCTCGTTTCACAATCGTTAGTGAAGCAATGAGAATTGGTTCTCATACACCTGCTTTTAATGTCACAGTCAGTATGATTTCAGAATGAAATTCGCACTGTGTCCATGGCGTAGCTGCATTCTTATGCATTTTGTAATTAAGAGTCATACTGTAGACAGGAATTTGTTTCTAAAGCATTGTTTCAACTGGATATGCCCTTCGACTTCATATTACTGTAGTTATATTCATTGATCATTGTCATGCAGAAATCTATATTGATGAAAATATGGACAATTTTAGACTGGTGCATTTTCAATGATGTTCAGTATATATTAAATATTAAAGGTAAATTATAAAATTCTGTCTGCGAAAGAAACAACTAGATTATCACAGATATAAATATAAAACTTTAGTAATTAAATCTAAAATACAATACAATTAAAAAAAACAGGCTATAGATAACTGAAGACCACCGTACTAGGGACCATGGGGACTTACAGTACATCTGCTTCCTGCATGGACCCTAGGTGAATTTACACCATCCCTTCAGCCGTTAGTAATTTAGCAAATCTAGCCATACACTAAACGATAGGACAAGAGCAGTGTGGAGAAAAACTGGAGCAACTAGGAGAAATAGTACGGGAGAAAAAGGAATACACAAAGAGATCGGAAAAAGCTTGCACAGAAGTAGAAACAGCTCTACGAACTGCACAAACGAAAACAATAGCAGACGTAGGGAACACTACCTGGTCTAGGGTACCGCATAGAACTAGAAGCACAAACATCCAGCAGAGTAGTCTTGTCGTTAAAAAGACGTAGAAATGTCGATAGAAGTTTGGGCAAACAGACAACTGGAGCGTGTGGTAGAAGAGAACCACGACTTTGTAGAGGCTGCTACAGACTAATACGGGGAAAAACCTGTTGGATACCAAGAGGCTTGGCCAGCAACGAAGAAGAATACCCTGTTGGTCTGCATATCCGCATACAACCCATCATAACTTGCCAGTGATATGGAAGAACCCTATCCTGGAATCCCATTGCTGTAGTCGTTGCCTCAGACGCAAGAAAGCTATCTTCTATAAAGCAAGAATACAGCGACCTACTAGACGATAAAATGCAAACTATAGTGGTAGAGGCTGGCATAGCAGCAATACCAAAGCATAGAACCAAACTTCTAGATGTCAAACCTGGAAAATACATTGGCAGAAGGTTTGCTGCTGCACTATTCTGAGGGAAAGCGAGAATTGTTTTGTATCTGCTGCCAGTTGGGGAAGATGGCAACCCAACTACAGACATTGAAATACCGACGTATGGATACTTTCTAGAGAAGGAAATAGAAAAACTTGGTGGGGTAGAAGCCCTGCGGAAAGCAAACAGCTTGCTTCTCTGTAGAGTAGGTCCCGAAAAGACAACACCACAAAAAACAAAGATAGACTGGTGTCTGTAGCAAGAATACAGCTTGAAACAAATAGTCCCATCAGGGATACAGAATAGAATACCACCAGCATACCCAACGATATACCTTCTGCTACGATACAAACTGTTATGTTTACTAAGAAAGTAAGAAAGTTTATGGATAACAACTTCTTTATTATATAGTTGTTATCCATAAACTTTCTTACTTTCTTATTAGTCACCAACTTCTAAATGCCAATCAAACAGATGTTATGTTTACTGTTGTGCGTTTAAGTTCAGCCTTCTCTGTGTGGACAACTTGCTATCTCTGGTATCGGTGTCAGCTCTCAGGAATTTTCCCGGATAATTTATCAGGTCAGAGCAGGAATCCGTGCATTCAAAATCAGACTCAGTACATAGCAGGCTGTGAGTTCCATCACATTGCTCAGTTTTCTAAAAGGAGGTATGTCTATTCACATTATTGTTCTATAAGCGTCAATGTGCACAATCAAATTGATAAATCATCACTTAAGAATTTCAGTCAAATTCTATGTTTGCCTTATAAACGTTTATTCTTTAGTTTAACAGTACCTATTTCTATAATGTTTACTCAACATATGTGTGATATATATTACTTGAGCCATAAAATCCATGTGACAATAACAAGTATGAATCTACTTGTAGTGTTCGAATAAGTGTTTGCACAGTGGATATGAATGAGCACTTATTAATTTACCAAACTATTTCACAGTATATCTATGTATCTAAACAATGCAGTGGAGAGTGCAAATTGCCAACAAACGTCGACTATTACTTAACTATGATATTACCATTCATTAAATGACCAAAATGTAGACATGTTTCCAAATATAGGAATTTTCCCTGTTTCCTATGCCCGTATCCAATTTGCAGGCACAGGTTTGGTCACGTAGACACTCTTACTTGCTAATCAGCGATGTACAGGAAATCAGAAGATGATATTATATTGCTTATAGTCGGTGACACCAGTTCGCTATTTCACAGTATAAAGAATACGCCACTACCGTAGCAGCCAGATTCCTCACAGCAAATGTCAGCCCCCATCATACGTAAACATAGTATGCGACTTTTAATCATGAAATGGAGAAATCAGTTGCACGATTTGACCCCCAAAATCCGGTAATATTATTTGGTTGGTAATAAATTCCTATAGTATAGAATTAATGGTCTAGGTTGATAGATCTTTATGCAATTTTTAAGTTTTCGGATTTGTACTCTGCGAAATACTTTCACAACACAGGAACATTACTTAGCTGTAATTTAGCATCATCAAGAATGAAGTGACAGTGAATATTTATAGAATGTATATGTGTTTGTTTCAGAAGCCAACACAGACGCAAGAAGAGCCCGATGAGAAAGGTGAGTGATTATTTTCCATATGTATTGATGAAATGAAGTATTCTTTAAAAATATCATTGTTTTCTTTTCATTTGTACTAAATAATAACGGATGACATGATTAACAAACTTACTTACATGCATGTACATGTATTTACTTGACGGGATTTAAAACACTGTGTGTTAGCAAATGAGCCTTGTACCTATATCAGAAGATTACCTTTGTTTATGATATATCTACAATTACAAGAAGTTTCGACCCTAACACACACGGGTACAATGTGTGAAGCCCATTTCAGGTGTCCCCGCCGTGATATTGCTGGAATATTGCTAAGAGCGGCGAAAACTAGACGCACTCACACAACTCTAATAATTCTGGAACGTTTTGGAAACCCCATGGATAAACGTTTTCAGAAGGTGCCTCGCCAAAGTTTTGTCAAAACGTTTTTAAAACGTAAAAAACAAAAGTAAATTCACAAAATTATGTTTTTAAAACACAAGGTTAGGGATTTCTCATTTTGCCCATGTGTTATGTGGGGATTTTCTCATGTCTTGGTGCAGTCAACTGTTAGAGTAAGTGAGTGAGTTAATATTTATCGTCACACCACCTGTTAGATCCTCCCTTGGCTACACTCACTGATACCAGAGTGGGGAGCAGGTCTAGAAGAGAGGGAGGAATGTAGTGATCAGTGCTTCCGGGTGTGATGGAGGCACGTGACAGGGCTTACCCGCCAATTCTGACAAGTAACAGGAGGAAGATCGAGACAGACAAGCAAAGCGATCGGACGTACCTAGCCTAACGAACCAGAGTGAGTGAGTGACTTAAAAGTTTTAAAGTCACATCGGCAATATTTCAGCCATATCGTGACTAAACTAGTTCTAAATTCATAACACACACACACACACACACACACACACACACACACACACACGGCTGT